TTTCGGGACATTAAAATTAGGTGATAATAAACAGGATGTGATTATATATGGGGTGATTATAAACAGGGCTGACTGTAATAGTAATTTTGAAATTTAATAAACATTATTCAATAAAAATATTTTTTCGCGGCATATTTGTTAAAATTTTTTTATTAGTCTAAAGACCGGTCTAAATTAAAAGACCGATGATCTTATGAGTCCGATCTTTTTTCAAAGATCGGACCGGATCGGACCGTTCCCAACCCTACTCAAGGTGCATGCGCCGCAAATTGTGACATCTAAGCATTGGTCCAAATTCGATCTTATCACGTGAAATGCAACAAAATTGCGAAACTGATCATTGATCAAACTTCGTATTTTAGAAAATTTTGTTATTAATGTCAAGTCCACAAAAATATAACCGATATTTTGGAAAATATAAAAATTCTAAAGGTATGATGCGAAAAAATGGAAAAAAAAAATCTCTATAAAATAGTATTAAATTATTGTTTAAACAAAATATAGCTGTTCTGGAGCCCAATATATCCGGTATATTTGTTAGTTGTATTAAAACGAAAGAATCTTTGTGCATTAGGGAATGCTATGATTTATTTGATGAGGTAGAAATAAATAAACATAAACAATATATATATATATATATGAAATCACACGAAAAATATTAAATCATTTCGTTTTTAATAGTACGCGGATAAGATTTATAAGTCTACGGATGAAAATCCTAGAGTTGATGAAGGAGGATCAGATAAAGACGATGTGGAAACTTCAATTGCTAAAGAAATTGCCCAAATGAAACGACCCCATAAATCGCGTCGTTTTGCATCAATACAAACTGGAGCTAATTGCGGTACTTATTGATCCTTTCTATATTTTAATCAAATCTCTCACTCATATACTAACTACTTTACATCATAAATTTGTTAGTCGTATTCATCAAGACAAATCCTCCTATAAACCCTGTTCAACTCGTTCATTCTATTTTGACCGATTTGTACAATTCAGGACAAAAGAAAACTAGGTAGTAATTTCTTATTGATTTTTCTTCTTTTAATTTAATGGAGTAAAAGTAATTCATATTTTGATTATGAATCAAAGATTTTCTATGAGGATGGTTCCCATTGTACAAACATGTTACGCCAATATGAATGATATTAATAGGATGGCAGATGAAATATTGAAACCACGATTTTATTCATTAAAAGACGATCAACAAAAGATTAGGGTAAAATATATTCTATCATATTTTTAATAACAATGATATATTATAGATGTAATATATATTTTTTTTTAATAAAAAAATATATATATATAGTATGCAGTTATTCCGAATATCAGACATAATCATAATGTAGATAGAATGGAATTAATTACAATGATTGCAAAATTAGTTGGTGATCAACACATAGTAAATCTCGATGATCCAGAATTAGTGATAATTGTGGATGTGTTCAAGGTAGCTTACAATCAAATTAAGTTTTTTATCGTTGTATAATATCTTAAATTAACTATCCTTTCTTAAAAAAACAGAGTATTTGTGGAATGAGTATTCTCGAGGATTATAATAAGTTGAAAAAGTACAATATAGAGAAAATTTTCGAAGAATTAAACGAAAAGAAAGGTGAGGGAAGCAGAATAGATAAAAGTGAGCAACAGGTTCCTATAGATATTTAGAAATTCAATCGGTATCACCATTTTCATTATTATCTTGGAAACAGCCTAACATAACCAATGAGATCATTTCTTAATATTGGCAATTTTAAAACTTGATCCTTGTAAAAGAGATTGGAATTTTATCAAAATTTATTTTTTTATAAACCCTTAAATTATGATTTTTTATATATAATCAATCATCATGCAGAATTTTATACCATTTATCATTTTTAAATAAAACGTTTAATATTATCAATATACAAAATTTTCAACTTTAATTTTTATATAATATTTAAATAAAAGGTTATTTGCTATTTTATAAAAAAGTATATAAATAGCATTTAATTATCCGTTGGTATATTATATTCTTTTTTAATAAATCCAATTTCTTTTTCTTTATATTAAAATTGGTAAACAATACTTAAAGATTTAGCAGTTTGTTTATTAATAAATTAAATTATAGGATATTAAAAATATGTATATAACTTCTAATAAAGGTTTTAAAATATATAGTTTTTTATATTCAAATTAAAATAATCATTCATAATAAGTATTTTTAAAATTTATATTAAATAATAATAATAATTTATATTTATATATTTTTTAAATTTTTAGTTTTTGGTATAAATAAATTATAAATAAATATTTATATATTTGCTAATTATTTTACTTCAATTATATAATTATAATATCTGATATTAAATTTTTTAAATATATTAAAACAAATATAAAAACAAATTTTTAAAAATAATATAAATTAAAAAAAAGTTAATATTTTTTTAAATAATCAAATTATTGAAAAAAATTAGAAAATATTATTAATTTAAAAGATAGTTTTAATATTATCTTTAAAGATAAGTATATATAGGCATTTTGCAGTAAAAAAAGGAAGAAACTACCAAAAAAATTTTTTTTGAGCTAATGTTAAATTTGTATTTATTTTACTAAAAAAAATAATATTTAGCTTAGAAAGTAAAAAAAAAATTTTTTGAATAGTTTTCTCCTTTTCTATAAAATATTTATTTAACTATCTAAATAATATTCATTACATTGTCAGCGTTGAAAATTTGCCCTAGAAAAATGATTTACAAAGTCATTAGATTTAATTTTATGTAGATCATATT